AGGTCTGGACGCTTCGACCGCGCTCGAGTACGCTCGCAGTCTGCGCATCATTACAGATCTCGCTGAGCGAACGACCATCGCTACCCTCTACCAAGTCTCTGAGAGCATCTTTGATCTCTTTGACCGCGTGGCCGTCGTCGATGAAGGTCGAGTGATCTACTATGGTCCCAAAAACCAGACCAGATCATATTTCGAAAGTCTCGGATACTACACTCCCGAACGTCAAACGACTTCAGACTTCTGCACTGCGCTCGTAGATCCGGATCAAGTGCAGTTCAAGGAAGGCTTCGAGACTCGTGCCCCTCGCACCGCCGAAGACCGTGAGCGCGCATGGTTACAAAGCGATCTTTACAAGGCTCTCCTCAATGAGACGCAAGAGTATGAAAGCGCGACAGCGGATGCAGATCACGCTCAGCAACTCGGCACAGTCACTGCGAACGAGAAGAACACGGGTGTCAAACCCAGCAGTCCTTACACCGTCAGCTTCTGGCAGCAAACGAAGGCGTGCATGTGGCGCCAGCTTCTTATCCAGTGGTCTACCCGTGAAGACATGTATCTGAAGCTATTCACCATCGTCACCATCAATCTTGTCATCGGCGCTCTCTTCTTTGGCCAAAGCCGCGACTCTACTGGCGTCTTCACGCGTGGTGGTGTGCTCCTTTTCGCCACCCTGCTCAACGGTTGGTTGCAACTCGAGGTCGCCTTTTCTGCAGTTGCCGGCAGACCCATGCTGGCGCGTCACAGGACCTTTGCATTCCACCGGCCCGCGGCAGTGTCTCTTGCTCGAGCGATCATCGACATTCCTTTCCTTGCGGTCCAATGCTTGCTCACGACCATAATCCTCTACTGGATTGCCAATCTCAGGGCGGACGCCGGAGCGTTCTTCTACTTTTTCCTTGTCGTCTTCCTCTGCGCCTACAATCTCACTGCTCTCTATCGCGCCATAGCTTCCCTCGTCCCAGGCTTTAACGAGGCTATTCGCTTTAGCGTCATGGCACTCAACGTCATCATCATGACCATCGGATACGTCATTCGCCGACCACAGATGAACTGGACGATCTTCCTGAACTACATCAGCGGTATTCCCTACGCATTCGAGGCCTTGCTAGTGAACGAGCTTGTTGGCCCTATTCCGTGCAACCCTAGCCAAATCGTACCCTTCAACGAGCCTCGTGATGTCACCTATCAGACATGCGCTCTCACTGGTGCGTCCCCTGGTAGTCTGGACACCCCCTCGCAAGACTATCTCTACACTACGTTCAGGTACCAGTCTCGCACTCGCGGCTACAACTGGGCCGTCGTTCTGGGATTTACCATTCTGTACCTCATCATTACTCTTGTTGCCGTCGAAAAGCTCGACTGGACTGCGGGCGGAGGAGGTGTTACCATCTGGGCGCGAACCAAGGAAGCGAAGCGCCGTTTGGCAGGCGCCACCACCGAGCCAGCCCGCAAGGACGACCCAGAAGCGGCCCCGGTCCAGCCCTCGCGCAGCAACAGCGGCGAAGCATCCGACGAGACGCGCGCGAATTCGCCCGAGCAGACAACTGGAGATGCAAACGTTCAAAAGAAGGCGCTCGACAAGTGGAATGACAAGGCCATCTTCACCTGGAAAGACATCAACCTGACGCTGGAAAATGGCCGAAGGCTGCTTCACGAAGTTGATGGTTGGGTTCGCCCAGGACAGATGACTGCCCTGCTTGGTCAATCAGGCGCAGGCAAGACCACTTTGATGACGGCTCTCTCTCAACGCGGTGCTGCTGGACACCTGACTGGAGAAATGCTGGTTGATGGAAAGCCGATTGATAAGGCCTTCTCCAAGGGTACTGGTCTCGTACTGCAGGCCGACATGCATCTTGCAACTCAGACGGTCCGTGAAGCAATCGAATTCAGCGCCCTCCTTCGTCAGCCAGCAGAGATTTCCCGAGCCGATAAGCTTGCTCATGCTCAAGAGGTGATCGAGACCCTCGAGCTGGAAAGCTTGGCCGATGCACTGATCGGCATGCCCGGCGCGGGTCTCTCGATTGAGAAGCGTAAACGTGTCACTATCGGTGTAGAGTTGGCTGCAAAGCCCGATCTGCTCCTCTTCCTGGATGAACCCACTAGTGGTCTTGACTCTGCGGGCGCTGCCGCGATCGTTCGACTGCTGCGTAGACTTGCAAGTGAAGGTCAAGCTATTCTCTGCACCATCCATCAGCCATCAGCGTTACTCTTCGAATCTTTCGACAACGTCCTGTTGCTCAAGCCAGGCGGTGAAGTGACATTCTTCGGTCAGACTGGTGATGTAGCTGGCAAAGGCAGCGAGCGCATCCGTCGCTACTTCGAGTCTCAGGGCGCTCCTGAGTGTCATCCGGCTCAAAATGTTGCCGAATACATTCTTGAAGTCGTTGGAGGCTCTCTTGGCCGTGGAGTCGATTGGGGTAAGAAATGGCGCGAGTCTGACGATAGCAAAGCAGTACGCACGGAAATCGACAACATCGTTGGCGAACGCTCTCAGCGACCCAACAAGGTGGCTTCGCGCGACTTGCGCGAATACAGCGCTCACACCTATGAACAGATCCGTGTTCTGGTCCACCGTCAATTGCGCGACACCTGGCGTGACTTTGCATTCACTTATGGTCTACTCTTCTCACACTTACTCGTCGGCCTCCTGAGCGGTGGCATCTTCTACGGCCTCAACACTTCTCCGGTGGATCTGCAGAACAGGGTCTTCGTCGTCTTTCTCATTTTGCTCAACGTTCCTGCTGTCGTCAACGCCATTATCAGCAAGTTCTTTGAGCTCCGCGTTTTATTCGAAGCCCGCGAGTCGCCATCCAAGATTTACGCTTGGTACTCTCTCATCGCCGCCTTCCTCATTGCTCTCACTCCAGTGGCATTGGTTTGCGCAGTGATCTACTTTGTACCTGGATTCTTCTTGCCGTACGGCAAACAGCCAACCTATGTCGCGGGTTTCTTCTTTCTCAACACTCTCACCGTCGTCTACTTCTTCATCCTGTTCGCCCTCATCTTGGTCGGCTCTTGCCCCTCGCCCGTCATTGCAGCCGAGCTTGTGCCATTCTTGCTGCCCATCCTTGCCATCTGCAACGGTGTCATCGTTCCCAGGGCCAGCATGCCTCAACCGTTCAGATCTTTCGTCTACTACGTCAACCCTATCTCGTACTACGTGCAGGCACAGGTTTCCACGGTCATGCATCCCTTGCAAGTCGTCTGTGAAAGGGAAGACCTCGCCATCTTCAACTCTCCTCCTGGTCAGGATTGCTCCACGTACGCTGGCGCTTGGGCTCAGACCGCTGGTGGCTACCTCAGCAACCCCGAAGCCACCGCCGAATGCGGCTTCTGTCAATACCGGGAAGGCTCTCAATTCGCAATGACCCTCAACGCCGACTACAGCTTCCGCTGGCAAGCCTGGGGCATCTTGCTCGGCTTCACCTTCTTCAACCTCTTTGCTGTCTTCTTCGGATATTGGTGGATGAATGTCAAGGGCTACGGTATTGGTGTCGCCGCCTCCAAGAGCGTCGCTGCCAGAGCTTGGCGTAGCGTGCGCAAGTCCAAGAAATAGATGGGTTGTAGAGATTGTGGTGGAAGTATAAACACATCCTTCCACACGATCTCTTTCTTCTCTTCTGCTGCCATTTCCACTTCCCCGAATTTGCGCACCACCGAAGTTTATTCTTTGATCACCTTCGCAACTTTTTTTTCGTACAGCAATACCAATAGATGCCGTTCATGTTTCGATCGAGCTCTTCACAGATTGATCGCGCCAAAAACCTTTGCGTGTGGCGCGCTGTCGCGTGGGCCGCTCCTTGTACCAAGTACGATAGGATGAAGAAGGCACTTCGCTGAGTGCCTCGAGGGTGCAGTGACCTGCTAAGCTAATCTGACCGTGTGCTA